CTGCTTTCGCAGCACTGCCAGAGTAAGAAAACCTTCTGCTGAGGTGGAGCTTTTCATTCCACCTTTCATCCAGGCTGAAAACCGTTTCCAGGCAAGTTTCGGAGAATCTGGTGGACCGCGGCAAAATCAAACAGGCTTGAGACCTAACACATGGACAGGCGTGTGCTTCCGGCATCTTCGGATTTCTCAGTTTCCTTCTGCTCAGGCTGCCAAGTGCACTTATTGTTTCCCTTGATTCCTGGGACTAGTCTTGATTCATTCCAGGAAACTCGTGCCGGAGCCTGACATGGGATGTGGCAAGAAGGATGAGGCTGCAAGATTCTGCTTACCCGTAGTTTCGGATGTTTCTCGGATAAAATGGACCTTGCTCGAGACTTTTGCTTCTGCCGTGAACTGCTCGTCGCCCTACTCCGTGAAAGAGTGGCTGCAGGAGCGGCGAGACGACCCAGAGAAAGGTCACGTCGCTGGCTGAGCTGGGACTGCCGCTGCGGAGCTATGCATAGAGACTTCCACTCGCAGCATGCTACAAACTGTTTGCGATTTCGAAGCGACCTGCGCACTTTTGCTTCATTGCTTCACCGTCTGTTGGTCTCATGCTGCAGGTCAGTGAGGTTGGAGTCGAGCCCAAAGCAAGGCATAGCAAGAAGTGAAACTGGCCGAAAATCGTCGGGGGCTATAGCTGTGCCAGGAAGTTCAGACTTGCTTTCCTCATGATGCAGTGGCCTCGCAGTTTTGGCGTTGCTTGAATAGGCATGGCACAGAGCCGTGAATCGCTTGAGCACCGATGCGACACCGATCAGGTTAGCATTGACAGCTCATAACTTTCCGGAAGGATTGGCTGTTGGAGCCAGCATCTTAACTTTCAGCCTGGCCTCGACAAGACTTGTTGTTTTTTTGATTTTAAGGTCTCATCGTTACAGAGTGCACACTTGGGGGTCGTGGTGCAGGGCTCAGCGGAAGACGAGGCATCTGCAACCTGATGCTTCTGACGTGTTGAGTCGTAGCAACGCTTCATCTCAGATTGATTAGGTCATGGCCGCAATTGCGGTGCACAACATCCCAGAAGGCATTGCGATAGCGTTGCCCGCGCCGACCTCAGCTACCCGCCGTATCGCGCGGAGGTCTTGCAGTATGCTTTCGTCTTTGCCATCATATGATCCCGCACAGGTGTTGGAGGCTACGAACAGTCGGTCCTGGGCAATGCTGCTGGCTTGCGACTTACTTTGCTTGCACTTGGCCTTCTGCTCCTTCTGCCAACTGAATTTCTGTGTTCTGCTAGTGCCTTGTCGTCGTTGTCGTTGCTTTCTCTGCTTGCGTTGTTTGCGTCGTCGTGGTGATTTGTAGTTTGTTGTTTGTTGCGTTCTGCTTGCTTCTGCTTGCTGCTACTTGCTGGTTGATTGTTTCTAAAGCTCAGTTTGCAGAAGTGCAGCCCTAAATTCAGTTTGCAGAAGTGGAGCCTATCAGGGCCGGCTATCATGTTTGAGTGAGCATCAGTTGGGCTTCTCACGCCTTTGTTTGCAGAAGCGGAGCCTTGAACCACTGCCGACATCAGCCTCAAAGTGCAATACAAGGGAGCACGGCTGTAGTTGACGTGTTGTTTTGCGAGCAAGGAAGTGCGGTTGCAGTTGGCATATGTTGGCATGATGTTGTTTTTGCTAGAAAGAGTGCATATTTTGTTCCCTCCAGGCTGTATGTTTGTTTTGGAGTGGCACCGAATGGTGCATACATGATTCTTTGGCATGCATCTCTTCCCGAAATCAGCTCAAGCCCGCTCAGACTGCTCAGAATCATTCCTGACCAATGCATTGAAGCCCTGCTGTGAAATCACGAGTTCTGTGAGGGACAGGGTTATGGATGATCAAAGAATCCGTTGGCAGATGCAGCAATATTTCAAGTCTCTTCAGCCTCAGTTTGCAGAAGTGGAGCTTGTTATCTTTTTGTTTGCATTATTATTAGTAGGAGCCAAAGAAAGCCTCAGCTTGCAGAAATGGATGCTTATTATAATCACATTGCAAGAGCGTTTCATGTTTCTGTGGGCAAGCCCAACTTGTAGAAGTGGAGCCTTCAAATCTGTCGAGTGGAGCCTTAAAATCCTGTCGGCATGAGCCTCAGAGTGCATGCAAGACGTTAAAGCCCGAAGCCGCAAGCCCCTTCCAACCCAGAAGGAGACGGAGAGGCGAAACGGCCAAGGAGTCAGGCGTAGTCAGGAGAGGAGCCGCCCCGCCCACTGCAGAGGGGTTGTGCGACTCCAATATCGCCTCGTATGGGAATCCAGTTTCGACGATTTTGACTCCGCCTGGTGCCTAGCGAGCCGCAGTCCCCAGCGAATTGCGCGCCAGCCGCACACCGTGCCCCAGGTGCTGCAACAACAAACCCAATAAAGAAGGTTTCTCCTTCTCGCTTGCGCCCTGTCAAACTCAAAAGGTTGCCTCAGAGGCTCTACCCAGCAGTTTGCACAGCGCACCGTTAAAAAAAAAAAAACAGCACGGATGGGCACTGTTGCAGTCGCCGGGAGCAGGCCCCCCAAACCTGGCCCTTTCACGCTGCCATGGAAAGTTTCCAAACCCGTTTTCTGGCCACTGTCACTGGACACAGTAGGCAGAGTCCAGGTAAGCCAGCCCCGACTACCTTTGCCCAGGAAGCGATAAACTCCAAGGTTGTGCAAAACCTGTGGTGTCGGGTTGAGCAAGCGTTCAGTAGTGAAGGAGCTTTGACTATCAAAGGGAAAGCCCTTCTCTCGCTAGTTGGATATCTGGAGCCGTTTGTCAGTCAGGGCCCCCCTCAAGCCACGTGGTGTTATGACCAGTTGGACGCCATAAGTCCATATAAGCAATGATCAGAACGTCGCCGCGCAGGCTTTGGCTATGGTTCAAACATGGAGTAGCCCAGCTACGGCGCCCTCCACTGGCAACACACGCAAAGGGGGCACGACGCAGCCCGCTTCGACGTCGCAACAGTAGGAGCCCCTTACTCGCACCTGAAGCCAGCCAGGACGAGCTGCTCTTTTTCCTGTGCAACTTAACGTTCTTAGGTGGGCCAGGATTGAGCAGACTCTTGGTCCAGGCAGGAACGGTAGTAGGGGTTCAGGAAAAGCCCGCGTAAACGAGGCCTTGTGGCACAGCACCAAGAGCAAGTTGGGAAGTCTTAAGCAAAGCCTTTCACCCTCCCACTTTTGCAGGCACCCACACTAAAGGAGGTACTGCAATCCTCCACCCCATGCATGAAGATATATTTTACAAAAGCATTTTTCACACTGAAGGGGCCGGTTTTTACCGCCGCCAGTGTGCGCAGAGGGGAGCACGACGTCACCTAAGCTTCCCCTTACCGCTTTCTACCTCCGTGACGCGGGAAGGAATCCCGGAAGCAACAGCTGGACACACCAACAGCCAAGGCTTGGCTGAGCTCATAGCGTACACGCTGCATTGTACCTGAGCCTTGGATTGTCGGAGGTTCCGTTAACCTCCCCCCAAAGAAGGTGGTCAACACCAACATCCTCCAAATCATGAGAGGTGTACTTTTCCATGCAGGTGAGCCAACGTGCATTACCGGGATCAGAGCTGGACTTTGTCATCGTTAGCAGATGCCTCCTACTGTGGGTCGTGGTTGGAAGTTTTCCCCCATAATGGGAGCTTTTCGCAGAGCAGCGGCCTGCACAGACCGAATACCACAGACCTTGGGGTTGGTGGGCACTTGCCAGTAGTGACTGCTTGGTGAGGTAGTACGCCCGCCATGTGCAGAGCCCACTCGCGCAGCATCCAATGGAATTGTCTTTGTTGGTGCTGTTGTCATTGCTGCTGCGGCTGCTTGTGCAGGATCGACAGCACCTGCTGGTAATTGTCCAGATGCAAACGGAGTGATGCTTTAGCACATGCGTCATGCGTGCCATTGTGCAGGCTACACTGTCAGGCTTGGCCGAACCTCTCGGGGCTTTCTTTGCTGTCAGGTCCTTTGCATGTGCAACTGCGGCGAAGACATTCATTTCAATCGATGTTTTGCGTGTTGTCGCGACCAGGTCTCGGTTTTACCTCCAGGGGCATTGGCTGGGTCTGGTGGCGCTCTCACATATGTCCGTTTTTTCGTGTGAGCACCCTCACATTTTGTGCTTTGTGCTGTACCCAATTGCTCTGCAGGTATGGACATCCTGTTGTGCGTTGTGGGTGGCATCATGACCTCCGTGGCATGCCTTGAGCTGCTGCAGCGTCCTCAGGATCTTCACGGCATGGCCATACGGAGCTTCGTCACAAACCACTAAGCCAGGCCAGAAGCACTAGCTCAACGACAAAGCTGGAGTACTGCAGCTGGTCTGGGCCGCGGTGCACATGGCAAAATCGGAAATCACTTTCTGAGCTGTCCCAGCCGAGGCTTGATCACGGGGATGTTGGTCATGCTGTTGACTCATGAGATAGCTTGAAAAAGGAAGGCAATCATTCAAAGTCGCAGTCTCTGACGTTGTGCAAACGAAGTTTTTGTAAGGATAGCAGCCGCTCGTGCAGCGGCGAGTGTGGCTTCAGAGTAAGTGCTCGTATCGTCAGCCATTGCACACCCAGACGGTCATCCGGAGTTGATCGCAACATACAGTCGCAAGCTTGCGTATTCTTCAATCGTTAAGCCCTGCTCCTCATCGGCTCAAGCAAGTGGCCTCAAAGATTTTGCGCACTCGACGCAAAGAAGGTGCATCCCCGATCCCTTTTGGCAGACAGCCTTGTTGCGAACTTGGTGCTCTGTCTTTCTCTCACTCATTTGCGCTCTCTCCCATTCTTTTCTTTCCCTTTCCTCGCGGTGCTCTCTGTACTAACACAAGGACAGATATAGATGGCCGATGTGCTTGCTACCGTACGTGCGAGTGCATGCGTGGGCGCGTGCGCGTGCGGGTGCGTGTGCGTGTGCGTGTGCGCGTGCGTCTGCGTGCGCGAGCGGGTGTGTGTGTGTGTGTGTGTGTGCGTGTTCTTTCTGTCTGTGCCTGTGACTTGGCAGGCATACCGTTGCGACCCTCCAACGCCATGAGTGTGAAGCCAAGCTAGAGTTGTTGACCCGGCACTTTGTGCCAATGTGTGCCTATAACCCATTCGGAGAGTTTTCTGGTGATTCCTCATCTGAACAGGCGAATCGCGACGGACGGAGATGGGCTGGGCTTGGAACTGATCCTCATATCAGGGCTGCGGGAGTTCTGTTACATTCTATTACTACGAGTTACTAGTAGCTGCAAGCCAGATGATAAATTGACTGTTCAGTGTTTGCAGTACTAGGTCCAGCCATATCCAGCCATGTCCAGCCAGCCTGCCCATCCACAGCTGCAGGTCCCACATGTGCAAGCACCACTCATCTCCACTGCTCCTGTGCAGACAATTGGAAGGCAGACAATTGGCAGGGGGTCGTTGTCACAAGACTGTACTGTTTCTGCGGAAGGCAGAGCATGTTTCATCAAGCGGCGCAGCCAGACGCTCAACAAAGCAACCGCAATGAAGTTCAGTTCGTTCCTGTGTTCGGTTGTTGCTGCGCTCATGTCAAAGCTGCTTTCGAGTGTGGCTTGCTAGGCCACCTGTGTTGCAGCCTGCCCAGTACATGAGGCGGGTGCCAGTCACGGCATCCATGTTCGAGAGGGGTAACAAGGGAATCGAGGGGAAGATGGAAGACATGCTTGGCATGCCTGTCGTCGCAGGCCCTTCAGCAACGATGTTGCCGCCGTGCATGCCCGACAGAGGTTCCCCCGCGCTGCGAGTGGAGGATACTGGATTCTCTTGTGGTCATCATTGCAAATTTGAAGTGTTTTTGGCTCGGGCAGGTACTGTATTGTAGATATTGTATCACGTTAGCCGTCAAAACGATGTCCCCACCAATCGGCAGCCCTTCCTTTTCAGCCATTAGCCGCTTCCACCATGTCCGACTATGTCGGGGCCGATGCTACTGTGCAGGTGACTTGCACGCATGAAGTTATCAGACTTGGGCGCATGCTTGTAGCATCTTGTAGCCAACTCAAGACGAGGCAACCAACGACAGCTCAATAGTGAGCAAAGCCAGTGCTGCAGCTTCGGGGTACTTCGAGGACGCCTGAGATATCTCTGTGTGTGTATGTGCAACGCAGTGTGCCACTCAATATCAGGCATTTTGGAGTTTATGCTGGTTCGATCTTCGTTGACTTTTAGAGACGTGCATGACAACGCGTTTGAGTTCTTGCCCGTTTGTGCACCTGTGTGTGGTGTGGGGGTATATTCAAGATCGGCCGTTGCCCTTGTGCGGGCAGGACCCCTTCGTGAGCTGCGTCGCCGTTCGTGGTCCCAAGGGGAAGCTGATTCGAAGATCTCCGTTAGTGCACAGATGTACCTCGGCAGGCAGCTGGCTGTGTGTGGTGATATCATTCAGACAGAAGCTGGTGCAGTCATAAGCTTGAGCTTAGTGCCAAGTCGGCATTGCAGAGAGTTTTGCCGGAATTGTCGGGGCTCTAGAGGATCCTTTCCTTGCTTGGCTTAAGGCTACTACACGCGACACCTGGGAGTTCTGCAGATGCAGGTGCGGTCCGTTCCCGGCATGAGCCCACAGAGAGCATGGCATTGGATTTGGCAATCTGCCGCAGGAGGCTTTTCTGACAAGCTCTATTCAGCCTCTCGGCAGATGAAGCAAAGTAAGCGCAAAGTAAGCCGCTTACCAGGTCACGTTTTCAGAACTGAGGCCGGGCGAGGCTTACAACGTGGTCGTGGTCGGGGCAGGATTTGATACTGGAGCGCTGAGGCGTTCATGGCCGCCTGGGTTGCGGGGATACTATGAAGTGGAGTTTCCCGCCGTGTCCTTGCAGCAATACGCTGTGGCAGCTAGCAACTTTTTTTGTTATCAAATCACTGGAGGCGATTTGTTTGCATCGCCAGTTCAAGTTTTGTGCATACGGGACTGGCTGGGTTTGGCATATCATATGACACTCGCATATGTGTACAGAATCGCGCAGCCATGCCCCTTTTGAGGTACTGACGCGAAAGGAAGCTTTGCTTCGTCGAGCGAAGGTAGAGCTGCCGGCATGGCTTCACAGATGCGGTGCTGACTTGCAACTCGGACAGTGTTTTGTTTTTGTGCTGTCTGAAATCGTGTGTAGGAAATGCACGCCTTTGGCATGACAAGCAGTTGCAGACTGTTGCAGTGTGGTGGGCCTCACGGAGTGGAGCCTCGGGTTCCACAGAGTGGGAAGCTGTTGGCAAACACGCTGGAAGGAAAGGCTAAGTGAGGGGAAGCCTTCATAGAACTGGGGCAGTGAAACAGCTGTGGGGGTTCGTGTGGAGGGTCACAGGACGCAAGTAAGGTTCCCCGGTCAGTTTATCGATGCTTATTGACACGCACACGGTTTCTGCGGAGATACAACGACTTTTGGGTCAGAAAACTTGCAGACAAGGGGTTCTAGAAAGAGCCACTTGTGACATGCGCTGTGGTGGGAAGTTGCTGGCAACCCTGCAGCAGGGAAGGGTGGAGACAGTTCTAGTGGCAGCGGAAAGCTCAGCAGGGGCTCGAACACCAGACATAGTTATCGGGCATCGAAGTCAAAATAACATCAGACTCTAGATTCTGGACGTCTCCAGCCATCTGCAGCCTCGAAGCATGGGACACACGAGCTGCGGATGAGGCGCGATTTGGCTGATGTGGAGACCTCGTTGAAAGCTGCCGGCACCTTGTATGGAGCAGTTGCGTGATGTGGTATGATACTTCTCTCACATACTATGTTGAAGACGTGCCGTAATCTCGCTATTTTGTCCTGCGATCAAGGCACAGATTTCGAAATACCCACGTTGATTATTGCCGAAGTCGTGCTGGCCTACATGGAGCCTGGTGAAGGCGATGCGCTTGCGGCGTGGGCCGGGAAAAGATTTTCCAATTGTTTATTCGGTATGTATGAGCAGATCGGACCCTACGATCCGTTTGGAAGATTTATGCGACGGCACTTCTTGCAGCGCCAGTGTCCCCTTAGATCCCTTCTTGCACGGCCAGATATTGAAGCGCAGCGTGCACGTTTCTGCTCCTTCCCTCGCGTGGATGCAGCGGACATGACATCCGTACTGTCTGCTACACCTTCCGAAGAGCTGACAAGAATCTCAGGCCTCGAACCGTTCGATGAATTCGAGGAGTTTCATCTGAAGTGCACGCATTATTTTTGCTTGGCAGCGATGTCCGGAGGGTGCTGCAAGGCGAAGACAATTTGGCCCAATCCTGGTAAAAGCCCGAGTCCTCCCATGCTGGAAGTCCCTGTTCACAAGCTGCACGAGCTGGGCATTTCCAGATTTGGTTTGGCAGCATCATATGCTGCCGGTCATTTGGTGGTGTGCGGTGGTCATGGCACGTACGATTCCTCCGTGTCAGAAACACATGGCAGGCAGACTTCTGTACTCTGCCGCAAGCTGGATCCGACACACAGTGCACCACAAGGAAAGGCATCCCAGCCATTTCAGCATGTTGGAGATCACAAGGCTGCAATGTATTGTAGCGCAACGGCAGTGGGCTCGAAGGTGCTTTTGTTTGGCGGCCGCTTGGGGCCTCATCAGCCAACCAACTCTCTGGCCGTCTTGGAAACGAGCGAGCGCCAGGAGCACACTGGCTGTAGCCCACGACTGGAAGAGGTAGATACAGTTTCAGGTCCTGCACCTCGATGGCGGCATTCAGCAACACACGTTCGCATTGGCTCCAGGGATGTGCTTGTTGTGTTGGGCGGTCGTGGGACAGATGCAAACACCTTCAGCCTAGATGAGGGATGGCTGCTGGACTGTGATGAGCTGTCGTGGAAGTGTTGCCCCATCTTTCCAGCAGATGGTTCCCTCCCCTGTGCGCGGCATTCGCATGCAGCAGCAGATATCGCGCCTCAAGGCCTCCTTATGATCTGTGGTGGCTTGGACGCCAACGAGGAGCTGCTGGGCGATGCGTGGATCTTGCAAAGAGATGACGACCGAGACTGTTTCACATGGAGAAGGATTGCCTCGCCGTTGCCAAGGCCGAGGTCCACCGTTGCCAAACAAAGTTCAACCACTGAGCACTTTACGTGGGATCATGAAGTTTTTGGTAGCGTGTATTTCCTGCTTCGGCTTTATGCTTGCAATGCTTGCATGCACGGAATGTCAGGTGCACAAGGGTGTTAACCTGTCTTGTCGTTGTAGGCGACTTCTGCCAACATCAGACTCCGGGTTACCATTTCCTTCCTACGCGTGATTATAAGTCTGTCTGAGGTACGGACACCACTTGCATGTGTTCAGAGGCTTTAACATCATAGTGGGTGGAATCGCATCTTGGCTGCGTGAGGCCTTGCATGAAGCGGTGTGTCTCCATAGCTGGACGAGGAATGGACGTGTGAGACAGCACCAATATGTTGCAATGGAGTGCCCGTGAATGTCTACCATCATGAAGAAGACAAAGAGGACAGTCGCTTTTCCGCCTCGCCAACGTCAGAGCTGCAAAGTAAGCTAAGACAGGTCATACTGGCTGACACTCGGACACTCGAACGGATGTTTCAAGGCTTGAATGGCAGCTGCATGCTAGACACTTGCAGCATCTTTAAATAACTGCATGTGGAATTGTGGAATACAACAAGACTGATCATGAAAGCATTTCTCTGAATCGTACTGCTGACCTATCCTGGAACTAACTTGCATGTTGCAGGACGACTTCTTCATGTGGCACAACATCGCTACGGTGCGACGCTTACTTACTGCAACCAACTTCCTGTAGTTGGCAGCGTGAGGAGAACATGCACTGACATGCTGCATCGCGTCCAAGTCTTAAGTGACTTGAATTGAATGTGATTAGGAAGTCTTTGTCGGTCGAGACCGAGGTAATGCTGCACAGCACTGCCCAAGTGCCTTCTGGGCGGCACTTAAATGTAGCACGGTTGCTGTGACTCAACGGTAGGCATGCTTCTACGCAGCTTTGCAGTGTCCTAATAATTGTTACAGTTGCAAGCTCTGGAAGAAGGGGTATATACCTCCTTTGCCGAAGGGCATTTCAACAAAACATGTTGATCGGATTTCTGATGCGATTGTGCTTTCTTGGCTGTTTTAGTGTCAGTGTGCTCTGCATCTCCCCTAGCCGGCCCTAGCCTTTGGTTGTTTCTGTTTGCTGTGTCTTTTTCCCCATCAAATTATGGGAGAAGAATATGAAGCGCGCTAGTCGCTAGTCTCAAATGGCATGTGGGTCGAGCGGCAGACAGCAGTGAGCGCCATCCGTGATGGTGAGCGGGGGCCAATTTGCACTGTTGCAGTGAAGGCTGATTCTCGGGGGCGGTGGCAACTGCTTCTCTTTTGGCACGCAGCTCAATCCGACGGCAGCTTGGCAAGCAGAACGCAACTCCGTGGCAGGTGTCGCGTGAAGGGGTTTTGATTCAAGTTGATACATCTTGATACAGTTTGATACAACAACGGCACACAGGCGTGTAGAAAGCTGAAGCATCCCAGGCACGCGTCTTGCAGCTGTCCAGTGTGATTGCAGCCGTGGAAACCCAAAGTGCTCAAAGCCAATGGTGTTGCGATTGGAAATCTATGCGTGAGTGCTTGGTGACCTGGGGTCACGAGAAAAGGCAAGGGCAAATGCGTCACGAGAAAAAGTCATGCCATGTCAACCCCACTCCCACACTTAAGTTTCGCTATTTTTGTCTAGTTTCAATTTGCGGTTAATGGCATGAGACTGGGCGGCAGGTCGAACACTTCGTTGGGACAAGGGAATGCAAGCAGCCAAGCTTATCAGTCAGACTTAGTCGGAGCATCGCTGAGCGCTGCAAGACATAAACCGGGTTCTGAGGTGCTCGACATGCAGGAAGTGATGGCAGCTGCTAGGGCCTTTCTTTGCTGGTTGCTGGCGGTAGCATCAGGCGCTCGAATAGCATCTGTGGGGTTTGCGAAGGTTGAGACACTGTATGTAGTCCAAGCCTCGGTCGGCACTTGTCCGCACGGCAGTCAGTTCTGCACGATTATTGCTTGACGAGGATGAGCTGAAGCCATACGGGAGGACGTCTTCGCACGGCAGTGTTGTTATTGTTTGGACCCAATAGCAAAAACGACAAGCCGCAGTGCCGAAGGATCCTTCGAAAACGACTTGCCGAACGTGCTTCTGCGGTCGGATGCCTCAGTTGATCCTTGCATTTTTTGCAATGTGGGAATCAGTCAACTTGAACTCGATGCACTGCTATACCATGACGTGCCCCATCGTGCCCGCTATCTTTGTGAGACTCTTGGCGAAGCACATTGCAGTCTCATTTGCTACCGTTTTCTAAGCCAGGCCGGTCAGGGCAATGTGGACGTAGACATCAAGCGCTTACGCAGTGTTTGCGAGGCGTACTGAGCAGTATACTTCGTTTGCTCAACGATACGGCATCAGTTCTTCCGAGCTCTGAACAAAAAGAGGGCTAGAGATCTGACTGGCATCGGGAGGCCTGTCCCTGGATCTATGTCCAGGCAGATCGTGGAGCGGGGAACGATTTTGTTCTCAGAGTCCAGTTCAAAAATGAACTAGACGAGGCAGAAGACGGTGGAGACTGGTCTGCCTTGCTACGAGGTCGTCCACCCGTTTAGCACTCGGCATCTCTCGATTCACAGACGGTCCCTCATGCCAACGCCGTCCTGCTAAGAACTTCGTCGACGTCTACAGCCCACAGGACGGAAGACTGATGGCATGCAGCAGACGGTGCTGATAGTGTTCTGTAATGTTGACTGTGAGCCTGTCCGCAGAAATGAGCTGCAACATTCGTTGGTCTGGCGAGCATTTGTGATCTGATTCGCCTCGCAGGACTTTTATCCAACTTCCCTTTGGCAGGCAGCGGCTAACTACTTTGAAGGCAGCGCCCTGTGTCGTACTCTGCTAAGGCATTCCACCCTCCGGCTTCTTTCATCTTGGTTTTGCTGCCTTTGTTGTCTCCCTTTGCAAACCTTTCGCTTTTGAGTCCGTGCAGCTGGCGAAGTTGTATAATCGACATACTCTGTGCAGCTCCAGGAGGTTTCGGAACATTCGGACATCTTCCCACGCTTCGTAGTTTAATCATGTTCGCATGCATAGTGAAGCCCGTCTTTGGATTGAAGCAGTTGCCTGGCAAACACTGTTTTTAGCAGTCATTAGCAGTCCTAAGACAGTCGGAACTTGACTAGTGTATGTGGAATTCAGACCTCTTTTCAAGTAGGCTAAGACGAATAGAGCGAGAAAGGAGTTTCAATCTGAGTGTTGAACAACCGACCAAAACACAGAAAGTATTCGGTGTGTTCGCTCTAAGCAAGGCTTGGATGATGCCAACATGGTGCTGCGCGGCGCTCAGATCGTTTTTGCTGTGAACCGAACCCTACAGTCGCAAGATGTGATGATCCGAGAGCATGGTCCTTGAAGCCTGCAGTTTGCAGCCAGCATCATGGACCTTCGTCGTGAGCTCCGCAGCACGCTCTTGCGCAGGCCGGGTGGCCGTTACTCCTGCGCGCAGGCCAGCAGGTTTGTTATACTTAAGACGGACACAGCAATTCAGCCATTGCCGGAGACGGTTTCAGCTTGTGTGCGTCAGGTTTGCTATTGACAAGTCTTGCTAGCATGCAGGCACCCGTGACGAAATCCTTTTGTTGTTTCGCTTTTGTGGTTCATTCGTTCAGACCTCTGAACTCCTGTCAGGCACGTCTTTATCTCAGTCGAGAACGTGAAAAGTGAAAAAACAGATTCGGTTGAGTTTCGAACAGCCAGAAGCGAGCCTTGGAAGAGCATTGTGCGGAAGACGGAATGGTCATCAGACCTAGAGATCCTTCCAAGACAACTCGGGACGTCAAGCCTGACCTGGACCGGCAAGTTCGGGTGCAGTTGAGCTGAAGCTAGCAGGCCATCATTTTCGATAGTTGAGGAATTTCGGACGTCTGTAGCTTGGCCCTCGTCTGGCTGCGGTGAACCCCGGTCTCTCGCAACACCGGAAGTGTCACCTGGTGCAGGCGCTTGTCTCGCGTGGGCTACAGTTTCTCCAAGGAAGGACTCTTGGGCAGGTTTCTCGCATGCACGATGAAGGGACATACATGCAAATGTCACAGGGTAGTTCGCAGTGCGCAGTATGCCAAATACTGAGTAGCGGGTGTGTTCTGTTTGCAGGATTGACTGTTAGTTGTCAGTTCTTTCAAAGGGATGCAGATTTATTGAGGTTTGCCACATCGTGCAGCTGGCGATTTCGCAGAAGAGCCTTAGCTGACCTCAGCTCTTTTTCTCAGGTGCATTCGCATTTCAGGTTTCCTGCATACCAGTCACACGGGATAGGCCTTCAACAGAAATTAAATAGGCATTTTAGAAAACTAAATAAGCATGTAACAAATAGACATCTAAAAAAACTTAAACTGTTGGAACCTATATATAGAAAGAAAGAGCGAGAGAGAGAGAGAGAGAGAGAGAGAGAGAGAGAGAGAGAGAGAGAGAGAGACGCTGCAGCCCCTCCACGCCCGGTAGCAAGCAAGCAAGCAAGAGAGAGAGAGAGAGAGAGAATCCCGCTGATGTGCAGGGGCTCCAAGATGGGGGGATAGATGTCCCGCCTCGTCGGCAAGGCTCCACCCAAGAGCAACTTCAAGCAGTGATGAGGGACATCAGAGGCATAGTGTCTTTCCTTGTCGCTGATGGGGGGCAAGTCAGACTGGCAGTGGCAGCGATCACGGCCGCCCTGGAGAGCCCGATCCAGATTGACATTCAGACAACATGGGGGAAGCCAGGCGGGGCCGCTCTTCGAACCGCCACCTGGCCAAGAGGGGGACCCAGTGCTGCCAATGACGACGGAAGCGGGAGCTCCCAGAAGGAACTCTTGCCGTGGGTCCCGCCACTCCACGCAGACCAATGGAGTGGGAGCATCCCAGAAGACGACGACGGGGGCGCAGGCGCCGCCGCCAGGGAAGAACTGGAACGACAGCAAGAAGCCGAACTACAAGCAGAGATAGCGGCACATGCAGTTTAAGGGGGAGACACAGCTCTAGACACACCAGAAGCCGACAGTGGAGAAGCCCTACTGAGAGCGACAAGCCATACTTAGGCGTAGGCGAATGCATGCAATGCGGTATGATGAGAACGGGGGATTCTGGCACCCAGACGAAGGGTAGATAGTATAGTGTCTGCAAGGGGAGCCGAAGCCTTCTGTTCCAGAAACTTTCGAAAGCAAGTAGGGGGCCTTCGGTACAACCAGTGAGTAGGGAACGTAACGCGGACGCTCAGTTCTTAGAACAAGTTGTTTGGAGACACGGCCGGGGCCTCAGAGTGTGACCTTGTTGTGTGCAGTACAGTAGCGTGCACAATGGGGGGACACACCTTTTTCAAAGGGATCGTAGCCTTGCAAGATCCCGGCACCAATACGGTGCAACAACAGAGCCGGAAGGAGAAGCACAAGGCCGGGGTTCTATAGGTAAAGTAAAGGGACGGGGATGTAACAGAGCCGGCCAGTGCAACACGCCTCCCGGGGGGTTTCACAAAGGACCAACAGACCAGTGCGCGCGTGCAGGGGGGGCTGTAGCTTCCCTTTGGCTGAGTGCAGCAAGAGAGAGAGAGAAAGAGAGAGGGGTGGATGGGCGGGCTGAAAGCCTGAGGGTCACAACGGTGACCCCTAAGCCCGGCAGAAAGAAAGAAAGGAGAGAGAGAGAGAGAGAGTAGACAGCCTCCTCAGAGTGCCACCCCAAACTTGGGCGAAGAGTGGAAGATCCACGACGTACAGATGGCCACAGGCGACATAAACACAACGGTCGTCATACTTGGGGGCATTGCTAGTTCGGATGGTTCGGGGCATAATGCAACATGTCGCCGAGGAGTGCTTGCATTTCTGCGTGTAATACACATGCACACAACCAACAAACGGGCGGCTCCCGCGGGGGCTCGCCCGCAGGCCCGGAGAAAGAAAGAGAGAGAGAGAGAGAGAGAGAGAGAGAGAGAGAGAGAGAAGGAGAGAGAGAGAGGGGGGGTGCACTCGCGTAAAGGGATGGGGGATTGCAGCTCAGAAAGACGGAACCTACTCAGTAGCTAGTGCCTCGGTCAGTGGGACCCCAAAGCCGTCCACTCAACAACACAGGGGGTGGACGGGCGGGCTGAAAGCCTGAGGGTCACAGCAGTGACCCCGAAGCCCGGCAGACGGAAAGAAGAGAGAGAGACAGAGAGAGAGAGAGAGAGATAGCGAGCGGTGAGGGGGGAAACCCCGTCACCATAACCCTGGCGAAAGAAAGAGAGAGATAGAGAGAGACACAGCCCGAGAGAGTCCGTCCGCCCCTGCCCGCTACACTCTTGTTTCCGGTGGAGTGGGAACCCAAGTTTTCTCACCACCGCTGTGCTTCTAAAAAGGGGGACCCACCACACCCACCCTGAACAACAGGGGACCAGCTTCTTGTACAGCCGAGCCCGTCCACAGAAAATAGTGGATGGGGTAGCGCACTCGCGCGGGGCGGGAGGACTGCTCCCGCCTCACACTCCGAGCAAAGCAAAGAGAGAAAGAAAGAACGAAAGAAAGAAATAACGACAGAAAGAACGAAAGATTGAAAGACAGAAATAAAGAGCGCAAGAACTAAAGAAAGAAAGGACTGAAGGAAGTAAGAAATGAAGAAAGAAAGAACATGAACGAACCAAAGTTTTCAAAGAAAGAATGAAAAAGAATGAACGAACGAAATACAGAAAGAAAGAACATGAAGTGTGTACATAAAAGCAGAACCAACTAATAGAGCATAGTATAACAAGATGTAATATAAGATATTGAATACTCTGTTTGTTATATATATACATACAAACTATGTAGTATGTTACAGTATATTACAGTATGAACTAAGATGTTGTTTTGTACATTTTCCTACTATGTTACATTATATTATACTGTATTGTTTTTCTGTTTCGTTTTGTTTTCATATGTCATAAGAAGCTATATTACGTTATGTCAGATGATGTCGCATCATTTTTATGGTGCCGTATCATCTTATGTCATTGTTATGGTTTACTATGTTATATTATGCAAGAGTGCTAGCGGAAGAAGAGAAACGAACAGGCAGGGAAGAACGAAAGACCCACCCCGCGCACCCCCGCGCTTTTTAAGCCGTGCAAGCTTGCTTTTCGAAGCCCATCATGCGAGCATTCTGTTTGCAAATGGGGGGTATGCCCCCCCCAACGCCCCCGCTTTTTTCAGAAGTGTGAGGTTGCTTTGAAGCATATGGTTTTTTTTTCAAACTCATCACACGAGCATTGTATTTGCCAATGGCGGGGGGGGGGGGGTTAACCGTGCAAGCTTGCTTCAAAGTACATAAGTTTCCTTTTTAGAAGCCTATCATGCGATCATTGTGTTTGGGACGTGTTGTTGATACATGCTGAACCAGAATCGCCAAATGCGGGGGCGTGCTTAAGACATACACATATATATACGATAAATGGGAATCGCCTATGAGGGGGCGTGTTTAAGATATATGAGGAACCGGAATCACGAAATGATTGGACGTGTTTTAGATATATTGTGAACAGGAAACGCCAAACGAGAAGGCGTGTTATAGATATATGAGGGAGGGACCGGAATCGCCAAATGAGGGGGCGGCTGTAGATATATGATGAACCGGAATCGCTAACTGACGGGGCGTGTTAACTAAGATTTTTGATGAATCCGAAATCGCCAAATGAAGGAAGATATATGATGAACCGGAATCGCCAAATAGGGGGGCGTGTTTAACATATATGATAAACCGGAATCGCCAATGAGGGGGCGTCTTGTAGAGATATGATGAATTCCCCGAGTAAACTGGCGTGTTTAATGCATGATGAACCGGGATCGCGAACTGAGGGGGGCGTGTAGTTTAGGATATGATGAACCGGAAACGCCGAAAGAGGGGGCATGTTTAAGATTTATGATGAATACGAGTTGCGAAATGAGGGGGCATGCTGAAGACAAATGATGAGCCGGAATCGCCAAATGAGGGGGCATGTTTAAGACATATGACGAGCCGGAATCGCCAAATGAGGGCGTGTGTTTAAGATAGGCGTGAATCCGAAGAGGCAGGACATTTACACTTAACAGACACAAATCTCTCTCCGATGCTCCTTCCTCCGACCAGCCACGCAAATCAGCAAGTCCATGTACGTGGGAATGAGAATATTGTAGAAGCCAGAAAGTTGGAACATCATTCTCCTCATGCCCTTAAGGTAAAGCATAAGGGATCCTAGCACTAATCCTCCAAAAGCCATGTTCCAACTTTCTGGCTTCTACTGTAGACCTAAACCGTTGCGAGGACGGACACCTCGAAAGCCTAAACGTGAGAATTGGCCTTGGCAAATTGTGTCAGCAATTGCTACATTTTCATAACTTATTTTTTTGGATGCTTATTTTATTGTATTGATCCGTGGATTTATTTTTTTTGGTTCCTGTTTAATTCTTTTTGATGCTTCACCCCTTCACACCAGGGTCTTTCGTGAGAAGCGCTCCAACCAGGAAGCTTCTCGGCTACTTGAATGGCGCCGTGGTGCCCTACGGGCGCTCCCAGTGCCCGTCTCAGGTTGTGGAGGAAAGTGCAGTGGATGCTTGTTTTGTGGGGCATTGCATCCGTTGAGCGGCAGCAGATTTCGGAGCTAAGGTCCATGATCAAAGAGCGATGCCGCACACCCGCAGAGCATTGTTGCAAGGGTTGATCTCGTGCACCGGGCAGAGTCCAGGGTGTGCCAAAACAGATGATGGCTAGAAGTAAGGTGCCGAGCGTCAGAAACCCTGCACCAACATTGCGCGTGGTAACGGATCTGACCTGGCTGGCGGCTACCTGAGCCTTTCGCTTCCACGCAGCTGAGATGTGAAGAGTTTTGATAACATCCCGTCGCAAAGATTGGGAAGTGGTGAAGCGCGGTCTGAAGGAAATCCTTCAAAGCCTGAGCGTGGCGCTAAGCGTTGCTTTGCTTATCATGTTCGGCTTGTGTGAATGAGTATACTCTTCCACATTCGTCCACTCAGGTCCTGGTACAGCCACGATACCTCTTTCCAACGTGAAGCGCCTCTTCCGCTCGCACCTTGCCCAATCTTACCATAAAGAAGGGAGCTTGCAATGGGCAACTGAGTGGCTGCGGGGAAACTCAGAATTTTTCAGGCGTTTTCACATCGAACTCAGCGAGACAGCACTCGGTCACTCCAAGCTGTCCGAGCTGCTGCAGGACTGTGTGCTGCAGGTATGCGCTACCGGTATCATATGTCTCGCAGTTGTCCAGGTTCAGTCTGTTGTGTGCCATGATCGGCATGTCCAGCCAATGCAGTTCAGATCAGAGAAGGAGTTCACCGGCGAAGGGCCTCCAGCTGCCAGCCTTCGAAATACTGTGATTTAATTGGCTGAGTTTTATCAACAACAACGCCGACGCGAACATACAGCGTGCGAGCAACGTGCGCAGAGGTTAGCTGGAGCAATGTTGGATTCCAACAGCGGTTTTGAAGTGGTCCCTCCCGTCATGATCTTCCTTCAATATGGTAATCAGCGAGCTTATATGTCCATGAAGTGGCAACCGTACTGCAAAATTTCCAAATAAGCAGAGCGCATTCCAGGCAAAATAGGAGCAATCCGGTTGCGGGAGGAAGCAAAAACACAATACCTGTGGGGGACGAAAAGAAACGTCAGGCATTGGCTTGTCGAAGTGCCATGTGTTTTACATCCAATGTTGATTTGAAAGTTGTGGTTCGCACCGAGTAGCCTTTGCAAAGGTGAACCTCTGAGCTTGTGACCCGTTGATTCTGTGAGTGGGACGTGTCTGCACGTCATTCCTTAGCCGACGACCGTGTGCGCCTGCCTCAAGTTTCGCCTCAAGTTTCTCCCACTAACGTCGCCCTTCTTTATCGCTCATGCCTCATGCCATCTCATGCCACTCCTTCGCGTTCACGGCCGCAGGCAACCCTGTTGCCTCTCCTTGCATCCATGTTCATTTTTACTACGGCCTCGTTTGACGAGCAAGGGCCATTTCCAGTTGTTGAGATGCCCATCCTCAGCTGCTCCTCATGAACTTCAATCTTCGTCAAACTGATATACATTCGCCCCACATTGGGGTGTTTGTTCCCCACCCTCGGTGTGGGGGGTTAGAGGTTAGATTACCTCCTGGAGTACCCAACCCCACAGACTACCGTGAGAATCCCTGGAGTGCTCGGGAACACCAGTGTTTAAGATTTAGGCTCGGGTTCTTTAGGTCTTAGGATATGCGTGTAGGAAGGACAAGGCGCTAGGGTGGGGATGTTCGAAGTAAAATAATTGTTGTTGTTGCACCGTCGCCTGCGGACACGACTTGAAGCAGATCCTTACGACCAAAAAATGTCACTTTCGACATGCAGGGTCGTGATTTACTGTAGCCTTTGCAGTGCTTTGCGGAGCCGGCAACGAGCAGGATCCAAGACTGCGAGATATTTGCTCGGTTCGTTTACAGGGACATGGCATCTTGGCGAGTTAAAGATGTTGTTCCCATGGTTCAATTCGCACCCTGCTGTGCACAGCGAGCCCTTAGGTTATGTTGTCAGCCCAGTGGCACTTACTGCCGAGACCTTAACCAGTTTTTGTCGAAGTCTGACCAACCTACTATCGCCTGCCCACGTTTGAGCCTCAGGCCGTCGTTCCCTCCAAGTCTAATAATCTGCGGCAAGCCAAGCAATTAGCTCAGCTGCATTTCCCGCTATGGCCTTCGGACGAAGCAACTTGCAAAAGCCAAGGGCCGTGCAAATGTCTTCGGGTCCGGGAATGTCGGCGGCTGCCGTCGGGATCTTTGGTGGAATGGGTCAGCATCGAGCTCTTTACGGCAGACTCAGGGTGCCTACACCCTCTTGTTATTTGCACGTCTGCCGGTTTGTCAGGAAGTATGTCTGTGTATATATTATCTGTACATTATATATATATATATATATATATATGTGTATATATATGTATATATATTACATGTCATTCGTGCAGTGCCTGAGCTTTGACTGGTATCATCGCTTGTTCCAAGGCTGGTGCAGCAGCTGTCACGGCAGCTGTTGCGGCAGCATGTGGGCAGATGCCTGCGCAGGCCGACTCACATTCACAAGCTGTGCTCATTGGAGAAGCTGTCCCTGACCGGCAGGCAGGGCAGTTGGCACCTGCGACGCTCGGAGTCCTCGCCTGAGTTTCGTTCCATGCAGTACTCCGGATCTCGGGAGCTGTGTGCATGTAGACAATGTAGACCATTGGCAGCTGGTGATGCTCCTTGAGGTCAATATGCGGAAGACGGCAGCGCCGTCTCCCTATGACAAGGTTTGCGCGCAGGTAGTCTTACCAGCCCTGCTTTGCCTCAATTCCACATACTGTGTTTCATCTACGCAGTTATTTGCACTGGACGACAGTTTGTCCGCCAGTCAGCGTTGAATGCAGATGTCGGCCCTACCGTTGGTCCCCTTACAAACTAGGATCGTGCATCATTGAAAGCAAAGCCTGGAAACGCTAGCTCATGTGTGCTAAGCGCAGTTTCTGGTCACCACATTCCCGGCCGGAATTACGGGGCTTGGCCTGTATAGTTGGCAGGTCACGATATTGGTGACACGGACAGACGACTATTGGTCGTAGGACATAGGATCTCCGAAAAGATTGCAGATATTTGCACAAAACGTGCAAAACCAGAAAGCAAACATCGAGAAGGCTTTAGTGTCGTTTGTTTGCAAGACGAAGCGTGACCATCAGGCAGAACGGTCAACCGCACGTGTGTTTCCACTTTTTGCTGGCGTTTAGAGCTGATTAGCGGTTTGCGACCCTTGTGCAGCACTGTGCAAGGGCATATTCGCAGGCACCCGCCCGAAACTTAGCTCTAGATGCAACTTTCCGGCCCGATATTGCTCACAACCTGACCTGTCCAATATGTACCGTAAAGCCTGGAGACATCGATCATCTAAGTACATGTGTACACGTTTCTGTCGGTGTGGGGATTTGTGGCTGGTCATGCGCATAAATACGGCTCGAGAAGCTGCAGCTAATGGCTGTGGTCTAACGTTCATTTGGATTATGGTCCAGGGGCGGATGCTCTCATGTGCTGCAGGCGGAGGTACCATTCTTTGACCCGCAAGTGCCACCATCTGCTCCGACATGCAGCAGAGCTGTCGGACCTGCCACTGAACTGACGATTGTGTACTTAGAGCGAGCCAACACGAAATATATCTTCCACGAAGGCTCCTGTGCCAGCCGTGCAACACCCCACTTCTCGTGTCTCACTTCGCCGGGTTCTCAAACTCACACAGATCTTATTTCGCAGCAGAATAATCGCATGTGTAGTTGCTGTGGCTGAGTCATACAAAAGGTGACCGAGCACCTTTTGTCGCACCTCTCAGCATGGAGGATGTGGAGCAGCCAGGGGCTCTGGCAGCCACTGTGGCACTCGAAGTCCAGAAGAGTGGCGTGGGGAGGTCGCCTGCGGTGGGACAGCGTGCTCAAAGTGCTCAACAGATCTCCGGTGGTCCTCTTAGCTTTGCTTTCGGAAAGTCTTACGTTGTCCCACTGGGTCGTCGCATTTGCTGGGAGCGATAAGTCTGACAGGAGGCACCTGGCAAACTCCGTTTGCCTTGGCCCCGGCACATAGACCTTATTTGTGAAGGTACAGACTGGATGGCTTCTGACACGTGCACCCTGGACCTCCGCACGACATGGCTCGCACTAGACCTACCCCCCTACACCACCAGCACAGTTCGACACACCTATTATTAGGTTTGCCATTTGCAACCCGTGAATGTTTGTTTTTGTCCTAGCGGGTTCACAATTCGAGCTTGCGGGTGTTGCAGGAACTCCAGACCATGCCAACCAATGGAGCTTTAGAACTTAGAAGTGATATCGAGCGTCGTTTTGCACATTGCCATGAAGGATTTTGTGCGTCGGCAGCTCATCCAGACTATGACGCGTTGGGACTGTAGGGACAGTCATCTTTGGAGAGCGAGCCCCAGACGCCTTTTGTTCCAAGTGCTGTCGCACGTGTCGGGTGTCCGCCTGTCGGCTCTTGAAAAGAAGGAACTGGCAGAGGCGCTGGAAAATCTTGTTCGACACAAGCGACTGTTGCAGCATGCGGCCGCGGCCGCTGGGCAGAGGCACATCGAGCTGCACCTCTCGAAAGCGGACACATCCTCTGAATATCATGCCTGGGAGAGGCGCCTCTTGGCCCTTGAACTCTTGCCCTGGAAATCCCAATCCTCCGAGCAACCCGAACCCATTCGCTTTTCCTTTCCTGATTCCTTGTACTGCCGAATCTCGACTCAGCTTGGGCACCGAAAATGCCAGGAGTTTTGTGAAACATCCAACGAAATACCATATTGGTCGTTCCTGCGCCTCAATACGACGCGCGGCCCAGGAAATCCCGAATATCAACAAATTTCTACAGAACTAGCAAGTCTGGGGTACATGACCGAGCAGTGCAAGCATATTGACAATTGTCTCCGAGTTTCAGGTGATGGAAGAGTGCCTGTGCAGCAACTGGACCTGTACGTGAGGGGTCGGGCTGAAATACAAGACGAATCATCGCAAGTTATTGCCAGGCTGGTGGATTGTGAGCCTGCCGGCACAGTGGTTGATCTTTGTAGCGGGGCGGGGGGCAAGTCGCTGGCGATTGCCACTCGCCTTGGTCGCGCTGGCCATTTGGTGCTGCATGAACCTCGGTCCCGTGCATTGCAGCGTGCCAAGAGTCGCTTGGAATGTTCGGGCTTGGAAACCGGGCCCTGCTACCACTTCGTGGACGCAGCGGAACTTGACACGTGGAAGGGAAAAGCTGACTGGGTTTTGGTAGATGCTCCATGCAGCAACACTGGCTCTTTGCGACATCATCCTGAATGCAAGTACAGATGCTTCGAGCACGAAGAGGACAAGCGAGAGTTCGCACGCCTCCTAGAGACGCAGCGGCAGCTTTTGAGGAAAGCTTGCGGCCTGTTGAAAGACGATGGCATGCTCGTTTATGGCACATGTTCTGCTTTGGTAGAGGAGAATGATTGCCAAGTGCTTTGGGCAACAAGTGCGGCTTCCCAACTACGACTGGCTACTGTTGTGACGCATAGCTTCTTGCCCGAGAAGGGCGGCAGTGATGGCTACTACGCGGCCGTCTTAAAGAAGCAACCTCGATAACTGCGAACTTTCAGTGGCATTGACAATGAAAAAGGCTTACTGCATATGATGCAGTATGACCCCACGGCAAGTGCAGAGTAGCTGTGGAAGACACTGTCAGAGGCCGCACCACTCACTGTAGTTTTTGCCGTGAGCGGATAGCATTTCGCGACTTCAGCGGTTGAGATTGAACATGTCCTTGACTCTATTGCTGATTGTCAATGTTGTTCTCATGTGATTTGTTTCGATCCGGATCGAGACACCTCAAAAACCGAGGACAGCATGCCCCTCATGACGTCAACTCCGAGTGCTTCACATCCTCGCACAGACCTTAGTGCATGGACGACAGCTTTTCTTCTGCACAGCCTGGTACTCGGCCTGTCTGTCACTCATCACTCGTGTCTGCCGTCGTCAAAGGCAGAACCGAGTCTGTGCCAAGAAACCTTGGCTCGGAGCAGCGCTCAGAGTTCAGAGCTCTTCATAAGCCGGAGTGGACGCACCGGTCGTGCCAGGAGAAGAATGCCCGTGACTCTTGCCAAGTTGTCGGCATCGAAGAATCGCCAGGCAGAGTGCCAGGCAGTAGCTAAACTGTTCGCTGCTTCAGCCAACGTGCCGTCTTTTTGCCGCAGCCAAGAGCCTTTCCGGAAACCACAAGCAACAACACCCGGCCCGCCCGCGGTGGCGCAATAGAACATGCTCTCCACCGGTTGGGATATCGGCGGAAAGGAAACTCAATCACACCAATACAACAAGGTTGGCGCGAACATTTGAAACTACCCTGCTGCCGCCAATAGCACGATGCAAACAAGATGGACCGATACGCGGTACCTGTTCAGGTCTTCCTGTGTCATTGTGATCGTGGGAGGCGGTGCATCCTGTAGAGATGCGTAGATTGCAGAGGACACAGGCAGACTTGTTATGCTGTACAGGAGGGCGCCGGGAACGTAAAGAATGCACTGAGGCTTCCTTCGAACTTTTTGGAAGCCCGCAACCAACAACCAACTACCAAGAGATGTGCGAAAAGCGTACGGCGGCCAAGACGCGAGTGGATCACACACAAACGGACTCAAGCTTTGCACATTTTCGCAGTCGCCTTGAAATCATAAGTCCCATTGTTGGAGGGCAATTATATATATATATATATATGCTACACCCCGCCTAGTCCCTACCTCGAAGCCCTTTTTGTACTTTGTAGACTATTGCGTTACGACTCCACTCCGAATAAACGTCTTGTATTGCGTAGTATTCCCTGTCTACAACGACCCAACACTGTTCGAACCCAGACAATACTACGAAGTATTGTCCAATGTCCTCTGCATGCTACGCTATTAAAGGGCGGGTTCCTCTTGATTTTCCTTATTTAAATCGTGATCTATAGGGTGTTCTATATGTTACTGTAAAGGGTAACCTAAACGACCTCTAGAGGATATTCTATATGAGGTATATTTGTGGTATAAAGGGGATGTGTTACATAGGCGGTCATATTCTACTGCACGCTACTCCAGATGGTATTTTCTAGGGCATCTTAAACTTATAAGGTACTCTATAAGGTATTCCATAAATTATCGTACAAAGGTATTCTGTAGCCTATATATATATATATATATATGTATATATATATATATACATATATATATATATACATACATATGGTAACCCCCCCAAGAACTACCTACCCTCGTTTTGTATCGTAAATACCGTGCCAAACCCGCTTTTCCGGAAGGTCAGGATTCTGTATCTCTCATAGACTACCGAAATCAACTTCAGATTTCAAGAGAACGTGTCAGTCAACTCGCTCAGGTTTGACGTGAAGTCCGGATTCAGTATTTCTCAAAGACTACCGAAATCAAACTCACATTTCAAGAGAACGTATCAGTCAGCTCGTTCAAGTTCGACGTTTCGACGTGAGCACACGCTTAACAGCAACACTGTGCTGACCAACTTTTTCCTAGGGAAAAGATGGTCTTGGTGTGAAAACCAACTTTGCCAAGGGAAAACCTAAAAAAACAAACAAAAACATCTTTTGGGAAACTATACGGCCGGACTCCAAAAATATTGTTTTTTGTTTTTCCTAGGAAAAAGTTGGTTTTTCACCCCAAAACCATCTTTTTCCTAGGGAAAAGTTGGTTTTTCACACCAAAACCATTTTTTTCCTGGGGAAAAGTTGGATTTTCACACCAAAACTATTTTTTTCCCTAGGAAAAAGTTGGTTTTTCCAACAAAAACAATCTTTTTCCTAGGGAAAACCAAAAAAACCATCCTGTTGGAGTTCGGCCGTATAGTTTCCCGAAAGATGTTTTTTTTGTTTTTTTTGGTTTTGCTTAGGAAAAAATTGGTTTTCCACTCCAAAACCATCTTTTTCCTAGGAAATAATTTGTTTTTCACGTCTAAACCATCTTTTCCCTAGGCAAAAGTTAGTTTTTCACTCCACAACCACGCTTTTCTAGCGAGGAGTGTGCCTTTCATTTGTTTGCGCGCGTTACGAACAAGTGTTGCCTTTAAGCTTAGAGTATTCTTGCTACTGGGATGCGATTCCGCCAACATTACTACTTTACAATATACTGGGTAGTAACCAAGACAATATTTGGGTCAACTTTGGGGTCGATAGGGAGCCGGTTATCACAGCTACGGCTTGATGTTTTCTAGCTGACTGAAGTTGTAAATTAAATATTAAATATCGGGGTCAAATTCTGTGTGGTACTAAGCCTACCATGGATGGCCTTAGGGCTGCTGTCAGGGCGAATATTACGGTCACCATTGACATAACCGCGAATGACAAGGATAAGGTTAATGTTGATGTTGATTGGAAGCAAGAGTCAGCTAATGATCTTCGTCACTATGTTGGTACCTAGTACAGGTTTAACCTGGTTCTTTACATTTATGTGTATATAGACACAAAAATGTACATACCGCAAACGGGCAAGTCCGACAGTGAGAAAGGGGGCGCCATGTACTATATGTTGAGGTAAACAAACAAATGCTGGTATAACCCCTAAAAATCTAAGGGCCATCCTTTGGGGAACACCAGAGCGAAGACGGCAAGGATCGCGGTTCTTAATGGAATCCGTTTCGTGCTTAGTTTAATAGTAGCATGAATATGACGGCAACCGTTGGAGCAAATGTTTGGGCAGTACTTAGCTTACATGTATTAATATTAACAGTAACTAAAAATGGGGATGCCGTGGCTTCTAACTTCGGAAACTTGAATGGGAACCCACAACTACATCTGGATGCACTAACTTGTTGATGAGGCCAATGGCCATTATGGGGGTTGCAGTTGAAGGAAGTATCCGGCACAAGGAACAGCTTATGGGCAATATTAAGTTCGCGAGTAAGGTCCATCTTGGGGGGACGGCAATATCATTACTATCAGGAGACCTGTCTAGCTGATGTATGTGATTGTATTAACCTTGTATTATCCAACAGCTCGGCATGAGAGTTGATATGGGGATGTATACACAATGAGGTTACACGTCGACATAACATGTTAATCCATTCGAACTAAGACGTGCACCATTTGTGGGTGGGCATGAAGTGGAAGACTACTGTCACCATTGGCGCCCATGTAACGTCTAATGGCAGGGATAGTCTTAGGATATTGTTGTTTAGGAATAGGAGTCAGTCAATGCTCACGGTCATTCATACGTATTGCTGGGGCTTGGATCTGAAACTGTAGTGAAGGCTATGTAGGGAGCTAAGGCTCGTGCCCATATTGAGCTTCGGGTATTCCGACAGACAAGACTTTCATCGTTGGGAAATCATATGTCAGAGTATCTGTGAGAAGGGTCACAGCAATTGAGAATGAAGGCGGCTGCCGATATACATATGTTGTCCCCTCCGAACCTCAAAATCTAACATTAAGCCTGGATCATACAATAGAAGCCTAAACCTACGAGGATTGCTGGCATTATCGCGGCACCTCCGCGGTAGTTCATCGGGGGGGGGGTTAGCATATATATATATATATATATATATTGAGGAAGGTATTCTATAGTGTATTTTGTATGAAATTGTTTCAGGTACATATGGTCCTGCATTACCTTAAGTACCGTAAACTGAGGGAATCATGGTATATTCCTTATCTTGGGATCCTTCTGATTTCCCCTAGGTAAATCCTGATCTATGGGTCGGGTATTCTAAAGGGGATTCTCAAGAGTATGCATATTATCCCATACTAGCAGAGCGAAGCGCGACTTCTCGTAGCAGCATCTTCTTCTCGAATGTGGGCTGCCCTGCCCGAAGTCGCCAGGGAACTTAGGTTCTGGAGCGGCTCCTGCAATAACTCCCTTGCGGTCTGGACTGCCCTGGGCTTGAGCATCTTTTTCTGCTGCTTCGGCTGCATTCTGGGTGCCCTCTGCACTTCTCTGCTGCTTTCGGCGGCGGCTCGGCGAGCCTGTTCTTGGGCGCTGCGCTTCTTCGCAGCGTGGCTGGATTTGGCACCGGGCCCTCCTGCTAGGGCGAGGGTGCATTTGAGCCAGAGGTTGAGGGAATACCGTGAATGAGTGGCCGGGGCACCATTGAGCAACTTACTCTTCGTCTCGGTCGGCTTCGTATTTCTATCTCTGAACAACGGGGCGACTCTGGATCACCTACTCCTTCTGCTGACTCCTTCGTTCTTGTGGAGGGGGACGACACTTCAGGCTCCCAGGCCGTCGCTACTTCTGGACCCCTTGCTGGGGGAGCAGCTGCTCCTCGAGCCGCTACCGCGCGCTCCACCGACGAGGCTTTCATCGCTGCCCGCACCCCTGAGGAGCTTGCTGCTTTGAATCTTGGGGCCGGCCGAGCTTTGGTTCGGCGACTATCAGCTTCAGGCGCTTGGACCCCTGAAGCGCGGATCGGCCGGGCCATTCGGGCCGGGATCTCAGCCGGACGTGTGCTTCGAGGCCTCCGGGACTATCAAGACAGCAGCCTGCCTTTGGGCACCCGAAATCGGGTGTACATCGTGTTGGCTTGCCCTTCTCGGCCGGCAGGCTTTTATTGTGAAAACTTCGCGGTCTTCCGCGAGCACTGCCCGCAGGACCGCCAGGGGCGGCTGAACCGATCAGTCGTTTGCCACGGCTTCCCTTCACGGGCTGAGGCGGAAGCTTTTGTGCAAGGGTCTGGGACGGAATGGCCGCTGGAACTATGAATCGGGAGGAGATCATTCAGCTTCTGACCGGCGCTCCTCCGGGACGCCCGCTGCCCCTTGTGTACTTGATCGACGACGACACCAGCCCGACTGTACGTGTCACGGCTTTCCTTCTGCGGCGCCGGGCTGGCGGCTTCATGGTCGCCCTTCCGAATCTGGAACAAGTTTCGGAACTTCTGGCGAACCTATCCTTGAGCACTCCGGATGCCCAGCTATATTCCACGGAAGCTGCCATTGCCTGCGAGACGCCACGTCGGCGCCCAGTCGGCGATGTTACTTTGCTGCTTGCGGATATACCTTGGGCTTGGTTGGGGCTGTTCAGACGAGGGACGGCGATGCGCAGCTCTCCTTTGCAACTGCTTTCCATCATGTCGGGCTCCACTGTGGTGCGGCCTGTCCTGGAGTCCGCTTTGGGCATGAAGTGGAAGACTACTGTCACCATTGGCGCCCATGTAACGTCTAATGGCAGGGATAGTCTTAGGATATTGTTGTTTAGGAATAGGAGTCAGTCAATGCTCACGGTCATTCATACGTATTGCTGGGGCTTGGATCTGAAACTGTAGTGAAGGCTATGTAGGGAGCTAAGGCTCGTGCCCATATTGAGCTTCGGGTATTCCGACAGACAAGACTTTCATCGTTGGGAAATCATATGTCAGAGTATCTGTGAGAAGGGTCACAGCAATTGAGAATGAAGGCGGCTGCCGATATACATATGTTGTCCCCTCCGAACCTCAAAATCTAACATTAAGCCTGGATCATACAATAGAAGCCTAAACCTACGAGGATTGCTGGCATTATCGCGGCACCTCCGCGGTAGTTCATCGGGGGGGGGGTTAGCATATATATATATATATATATATATATTGAGGAAGGTATTCTATAGTGTATTTTGTATGAAATTGTTTCAGGTACATATGGTCCTGCATTACCTTAAGTACCGTAAACTGAGGGAATCATGGTATATTCCTTATCTTGGGATCCTTCTGATTTCCCCTAGGTAAATCCTGATCTATGGGTCGGGTAGTCTAAAGGGGATTCTCAAGAGTATGCATATTATCCCATACTAGCAGAGCGAAGCGCGACTTCTCGTAGCAGCATCTTCTTCTCGAATGTGGGCTGCCCTGCCCGAAGTCGCCAGGGAACTTAGGTTCTGGAGCGGCTCCTGCAATAACTCCCTTGCGGTCTGGACTGCCCTGGGCTTGAGCATCTTTTTCTGCTGCTTCGGCTGCATTCTGGGTGCCCTCTGCACTTCTCTGCTGCTTTCGGCGGCGGCTCGGCGAGCCTGTTCTTGGGCGCTGCGCTTCTTCGCAGCGTGGCTGGATTTGGCACCGGGCCCTCCTGCTAGGGCGAGGGTGCATTTGAGCCAGAGGTTGAGGGAATACCGTGAATGAGTGGCCGGGGCACCATTGAGCAACTTACTCTTCGTCTCGGTCGGCTTCGTATTTCTATCTCTGAACAACGGGGCGACTCTGGATCACCTACTCCTTCTGCTGACTCCTTCGTTCTTGTGGAGGGGGACGACACTTCAGGCTCCCAGGCCGTCGCTACTTCTGGACCCCTTGCTGGGGGAGCAGCTGCTCCTCGAGCCGCTACCGCGCGCTCCACCGACGAGGCTTTCATCGCTGCCCGCACCCCTGAGGAGCTTGCTGCTTTGAATCTTGGGGCCGGCCGAGCTTTGGTTCGGCGACTATCAGCTTCAGGCGCTTGGACCCCTGAAGCGCGGATCGGCCGGGCCATTCGGGCCGGGATCTCAGCCGGACGTGTGCTTCGAGGCCTCCGGGACTATCAAGACAGCAGCCTGCCTTTGGGCACCCGAAATCGGGTGTACATCGTGTTGGCTTGCCCTTCTCGGCCGGCAGGCTTTTATTGTGAAAACTTCGCGGTCTTCCGCGAGCACTGCCCGCAGGACCGCCAGGGGCGGCTGAACCGATCAGTCGTTTGCCACGGCTTCCCTTCACGGGCTGAGGCGGAAGCTTTTGTGCAAGGGTCTGGGACGGAATGGCCGCTGGAACTATGAATCGGGAGGAGATCATTCAGCTTCTGACCGGCGCTCCTCCGGGACGCCCGCTGCCCCTTGTGTACTTGATCGACGACGACACCAGCCCGACTGTACGTGTCACGGCTTTCCTTCTGCGGCGCCGGGCTGGCGGCTTCATGGTCGCCCTTCCGAATCTGGAACAAGTTTCGGAACTTCTGGCGAACCTATCCTTGAGCACTCCGGATGCCCAGCTATATTCCACGGAAGCTGCCATTGCCTGCGAGACGCCACGTCGGCGCCCAGTCGGCGATGTTACTTTGCTGCTTGCGGATATACCTTGGGCTTGGTTGGGGCTGTTCAGACGAGGGACGGCGATGCGCAGCTCTCCTTTGCAACTGCTTTCCATCATGTCGGGCTCCACTGTGGTGCGGCCTGTCCTGGAGTCCGCTTTAGAAGCCGCCGAGGTCTGGATTGCGAGCGCGATGGAGGAGCCCGATCTTCAGGAGTCCATGGGGGAGTATGCCACCGCTGCGGAGCATGGGGAGCCCGAAGCCAACGAAGCGGAAGACGAGGGCGAGGGACCCGACGCCGAACTGGTCCGGCTCCGGGCCCAGGTTGCTGCCTTGGAACTTGCGGCGCAGACTCAGCCTCCGCCTGCTGTTGGTGCACGCGCCGCACGGGCCACTGGTGCACAGACCCGGCGAGGACTTGTTCCCCGGCTGACTCCCGGCGACTTGGCCCGCTTGCAAGAGGCAGCTGGAGCACCGCCGCCCCGCGTTGCCCAGCACGAGCGAGCACCTCGCACTGTTGCCGTCGAGGACGCCGACAACCTCCTCGCCGAGTTGGATGCCGACGTCGTGCAGGGCGAGGCCTTGCGTGGTGGTTCCAACGAGGCCTTGATCCACAAGCTGCTCTTGCTCCAGACCAAGATGCTCTCGCAGCTCAGTGCCGGCCGGCCCCAGGGTCCCAGGGTCCTTTGGAGACGGCGTTGGCTTCCGGAGGGGACAAAGACGGCGCCAACTTGAGTGCCAAACGAAGCGCCGCAAGGGATGCTTACGTTGTGGAGGATCACGCTCAGGTGTCGGCCCAAATCCGGAGGCTGGCGGCGATGGAGCTGACCACGAGATGGAGGCATGGTTCGCCAGGCTGGCCCTCTTCGTGGACCAGGCGGCCACCGAAGGCGGACGTACCCAGCTAGCCTGGCTCCTTGCGGGCTTGCCGGAGCCTCCTGGACGACGATGGTTCGAAAGAGACAGGGGCTGAAGCCCTTCTCGAAGATGTGCCCGTCGCTGTGGGCCAGCGCCAACATCGCCTATCTCAAGGAGCTGGACTGGATCGGTTCGCGCATGGCGACTCAGGCCGGCGGAGGACAGCAGAAGGACGAGGGGCCCCCTCGACCAGGCCGCCTCGGCGTCCCCGAAAGACGCCCGGAGGGACAGACAGCTAGCTTCTGAGAGGAATGCATGTGAGACCGGCCGAGCGGAGCTCGGCCCGTCTATAGCCGCCTCTGGCGTGCCTTTGAATTCGGAGTCGTTTTCTTTTGATCCAGCCGGGGCTGACCTCGCTGGTCCGCGGGCTGAGCCGATGGGAGCTGATAATACCAATGCCTCTCCCCCTTTAGGCCCCTTCCCGCCTGACCGCAAACTGCCTTCGAGCGAGACTTGTTTCGTTAGCTGGGTCTCTAGTTTTTTAGGTTCACTTTGGAATGCTAGTTGTTGCTTGGGGTCCTTCCTTCGGGCTTCTCTTCGCGCTCCTGCCTGCACAGCTGTGCCTGACAATTGCTCAGGCGATCCGTGGCCTGTTCCGATGCCCTCCCGGGCTCGATGGACGGCCCATGCACAATGCACCCTGCAGCCCAGACGCCGCCGGCGGGCTAAGATCTTTAGTGTAGCCTGGGAGTTGGTTCGCATTCAGATAGGGTGCCTTAACTGGCTAGCCTTGGGTTGCCCTAGCCGTCCGCCCGACCGCGCCTGCGTCGGCACCGCCTTGACTGAAAGCCAGCACGGCGTTCTTGGCACTTTGGAGCGGCACTGCTTGCATTTCTTGCGCGCGGGGCGCTTCGCATCTTCAACCTTGGGTCGCAGCTCTGAAAAATTCGATCTTCTGTTCGGTCTGGCCTTGGAACTGCCGCAGTGTGACTTAGCTCCCGCTTCGGATGTGGACCGCATGCTGAACCAATTTGTTTCTGCGCTGCATGTTGACTGGGACACGTACTCTAGGCCCCGGCCCTTCCCTAAGGACCCGCCACCTGCCCAAAACGATCCCCTTCAGGCCACTACGCGCGGAGAGGCGGCTCCTCGCCCTGCTTCGGGTTCACTTGGGGTTTGTTCTTTGGGTTCCGGGGCCAGTTGCAAGAAGGTGGTTGCCGACCGAATCAAGTGGACGCTTCCTCCGTCTTTTGATCCGATGCCTTTCTTCTCGGATGCCACCGCCCGACGGGTTTACCTAGATCCCAACGCCCTTCGCCTGCCTGAGTCGCTCTGGCCCCGGCTTCCTCGAGCACAGGTGCACTGCTCTCGGGCCGAACTGTTGCGCTTGGCTGCGAAATGGGACGACTTCCAGGCCCTTCGGCTTGTACCTTGCACTGCTGTCCCGTACCATGAAACTGTGGGTTGCTTTGGGGTTGCTAAGGATGCGTCCTTTGATAGGTTCATCCTTAACCCGGTCGTGGCTAACTCCCGAACTCAGGGCCTTAGCAAATTCACTAAGCTCCTCGCCCCGGGGGTGTTGCTGACTTCAGCCCACTTGCCTTCTGAGGGTCACGTTCTTAGGTTCAATTGTGACGACCTTTCGGAAATGTATTACACGTTCTCAGTGTCGCAGGCACGAGCTCAGAGGAATACTTTGGGAGTCGCTTTTGATCCTTCTGAACTTCAACATTTCAGCGTGTATGATCCTGTCGAGCACAACCAGCCTTGCTACCTATCCTTAGGCACGCTTGCGATGGGGGATTGTCATGCAGTAGAATTCGCTCAGCAGTCACATTTTAATGTTCTAGGTTCGCTTGGAGGATGTATGCGACCTCATGAATATGTGGCTTATCGCCGCCCGGTGCCGCGAACTTCGTGCCTGGAATTCCTTTCAATTGACGATCACCTGACTGCTCAAGTTTGCTCACGCGCTCAGTTGAAGCACTCTGCGCGGCTTCGGGACACAGCTATCTTCGAAGGCGCTGAACGGGCCTATCCTGCTGTCGGCCTGGTTCAACATCCTAAGAAAAGGCAGCGCAACGTCACCACAGGAGTTTTTCTTGGAGCCGACGCTGACGGCCTTCAGGGCCTTGTTTCAGCCCCGCGGCATCGGGTCGGCGTGCTTATGCGCATCACCGCGACCATTGCTCGGAAAGGCTGCTGCTCTTCTGACCTTTTGTCTTCGGTGCTCGGCTTGTGGATTCACGTCCTGCTGTTTCGCAGGCCTGCTTTGGCCGTGCTTCAGGCCGTCTTCGAGGACGCCCGCCGGGTTCCTCGGAACAGTGTACTGCCTCTGCAACGTGGGTCGATCAACGAGCTCTTCTGCCTGTGCGCTTTGGGCCCCTTGCTGCAGACCGACCTTCGTGTCAATTACCCGGGCATGCTTTTCTGCATGGACGCTTCTCCTACTGGTGCGGGCCTGTGTGCGGCATCTCTGCCCCCGGCCGTGCTTAAAGAACTTTGGCGCCATGGTGAACAGAAGGGTTTTTACGCTAAGCTTCTTGAACCCGCGAGCGCCTTGCTCGCCGAGCTTGAGCTTTCAGACGACCCGGGGATTGACTTTGCACGGAATGTCGGGGATGGCGTGTCCGGTGCTTTCGGCTTCGGTGTTGAGCCCTTGCCTCTGAGGTCTGCGCTTCCTGGGCCCGCCACCTTCTTGCATCTGTTCGCGAACGACCCCACCTGGGACACTGCCTGCTTGAACCTTGGCCTTCACCGCGTGCCTGACTCTTGCTCTCTTGCTGGCCTCCGCTTTGAAGACCTAGCTTCGGATGATGTTTTTCATCGGTTGCGCGGGCTGCTGATGGGCGGTGTCGTTTTCGACCTTCATGTTTCGGCTCCAGCGCTGTCCTTCGTTCCTCGTGGGCGCTGCCGTCTGCGTTCTCCTACGTCGGCTGCTGCTTCGCACTGTCGCTGGGGTCTTCTTCGCCATCACGATCGCCTCGCCCGCCGCTTGTGCTTTCTCCTTTGCCTCGCTGCCTCTTCGGGCGTGTACTTTAGCGTGTCACAGCCTGCTGCGAGCCTGCTCTTCCGGCTTCACTGCTTTCGGGGCCTTGTTGCTCTGGGTGGTGTGCTCACGCGCCTTTTTTGCTGTGATTTCGGCGCCCCTTACAAACGGGCCTTGCTTTTCTTGCATAACAAGCCTTGGCTGTTGCGGCTGGCCTCCTCTGGTGACACTTGTGGCTGTCCCCCTGGCGCTAAGCACTTCCCGGTTTGCGGCACCTTTTCTGCGCCCGCTGTTGACGCTTTCTGTCGCGCTTGCAGCCCGTCTGCCTCTGCGGTTTTCGGTGCCTCTCCTGCTGTCGGCCAGTCGGTTTCTAGCTTTTGTGCTGCCTATCCGGCCCCGCTCGCTTGTCGGATTGCTTCTGGCTCTGCGTTGGCCGCTTCCGGTTACGTTCCTCCGATGCCTATCGTCGCGTCCTGGGACACCCTTAGCGCCCTCGGGTTTAGTGGTTTAGGCCCTTTCCCGTTCGACCTTAGTGGGCTCCGGTTTGCTGCTAGGCTCTTTCACGATGACCCTGAGTGGATCGGCGAGTTGGCTGACTGCCTCGACTTCCGCGAACTTGTGAGGTACAAGTTTCGCAAGGGGGGCCACATCAACATCCTTGAGGCCCGCGCCTACAAAACCTGGATCAAGTGGTGCTCCCGGCGGCTTCCCCAGCCTTCTCGGGCTCATCGACAGCCGTGTTCTTCTCGGCGCAGCCGCCAAGGGCCGGTCTGCTAGCCCTGCTCTGTGTCGTGTGCTCAGGTCTGCAGTTCCCTACCTTTTGGGCGCTGGGCTTTACCCTTGCGGCCTTCACGTGTACTCAGCTCTCAACAGAGCTGACGGTCCTTCTCGTGACCGGCCTCCGCCAGCCCCTTCTAAAGCGTTCCCTGCCTGGCTCACCGCGCTTATCAATGGTGACTTCCGTCCTTATGATCTTGTCTGCAGTTCGGTTTCCGTCCCTAAGGTCCTCGGCCGTTGGGTGCGGTTCCTCTTGCTGTTGGCCGGTGACATCGAGCGCAACCCCGGGCCTCCTTCCCGGCTTCCTCGTGGCAGTCTCGACTTGCAGTCCGGTTTCGCTACTTCCACTCGTCACAAGATGACGAAGGCGCTCGATGCTTTCATCCTTTGGCTCTCGGTTGAGTTCGGCCTGGGGTTTGACGCTGCCATGTCGTCTTCGCAGTCTGCGGCTTGTGCCTTGCGTGCCTTTACTCCAGTGGCTTTCCACGCTACTTGTTGGTCTACGCGATCACTTCCGTTCAAGACCGGTTCCCCCAGTACCGGTCGCACCTTTCACCAGCCTGGCAGATTGACCGGAAGTGGCAGTTGGCAGAGCCCGGCGAGTGCCGCCCTGTGATCTCTCAGCCGATCCTTCAAGCCTGCATTGCGTTGGCCATCTGTTGGGGCTGGTACGACTGGGCCGCTCTGACCTGTGTGGGCTTCCTCTGTATGCTCCACCCGGCCGAAATGATCCCCTTGATCCGCCAGGATCTTGTGTTCCCTGAGGACGCCCTGTCTCCAGACCCGGTTGCGTATGTGCACCTACGCAGCCCTAAAACGCAGCGGTTCGCGAGTCGCCAGCACGCTAGGCTGGAAGACCCTCTCGTGCTCCGCCTTCTTGAAGCTCTCTACTTCGACCTGCCCTTGGGTGCCCGCCTTTTTCGCGGCTTCGCGGTTCCATGCATGTCTACAGACGGCAGTGGAACTCCATTATGTCTCGCCTCGGCGTGCCATGTCATCTCTCGGAGAAGGGCGCTACTCCAGGGGTTCTTCGGGGCTCCGGCGCTACCTTCTTATATCTTGAGACGGAGGACCTGCCTCTGGTTGCTTGGAGGGGTCGTTGGAGTACAACTAAGACGGTCGAGTTTTACCTTCAGGAAGTGGCGGCGCAGCTCCTGCTCCACCGCTTACCCGTTTGGTCACGAGAGCGAATCCGAGTGCTCTCGTCCTTCTCGCGGCACCTTCTTCTTGAAGTCATCGCGAATTGTGGCGGAGCCAAGTAAACTGGAGATGGAATGGTGCTTTGATAGTGCCCTGCCGGCCTTTGCTTGTGGCTTCCTCCCCGAACCCTAATGCCTCGTTGTGGTTTAGTCCCCGGGGCCCCTTTCGGTTTAGGCCTGGTTCCCTGGCTCTGCCCGGCCTGCAGGCCACTTTTCTTTGGTGCCGGTGCAAAGCACCCGGCACGCGGGACACTTCGTGCGAGCAGGCGAAAATGGGATGCATATTATCCCATACTAGCAGAGCGAAGCGCGACTTCTCGTAGCATCTTCTTCTCTCCACCCACCGCGCCCGAATGGTGCTTTGATAGTGCCCTGCCGGCCTTTGCTTGTGGCTTCTTCCCCGAACCCTAATGCCTCGTTGTGGTTTAGTCCCCGGGGCCCCTTTCGGTTTAGGCCTGGTTCCCTGGCTCTGCCCGGCCTGCAGGCCACTTTTCTTTGGTGCCGGTGCAAAGCACCCGGCACGCCGGACACTTCGTGCGAGCAGGCGAAAATGGGATATATAAAGTATACGGGCGGGATCGGGCGGGTATCATAAATATGGTTCTGACTACGACATTCTCTTGACTATTCCAGAAAGTATTCTATAAGGCTCATATAGGGGAAAAGAAAAGCATGACATTCTATGGGGCATTCTATAGAGTATCTGTAAGATATTCCAAAAGGTATCTTATAAAAGGTGTTCAATAGGGTGCATAAATAGGAAAGAATTCCATAAGATCTTCTATGGGCTAAAGAGTAGTCCGTAAGGTCTACAAAAGGTTTGTAGGATAAATGCTATATAGTATTACCTAGGATATTATTATCTATGGAATTCTGGGGGGGCGGCGTCTTATAAAATAATTAAAGAATATGATTTTACTAGTAAGTTCCTCATGTACTTCATAGGAATCCGCTACTCAATAGGCTACAACCCAACTGGAAATTTTCAAATTTTGGGCTCCGACTGATGCTCCATATTTAAAACTTTTTTCTACACAGTATTTTTAAAGGTATTCTACAGGGGAGTCGAAGAAGTATCCTATAAGGTATTCTATGCGGTGTATATTGACAGTCAGTATCGTACATGCTGCCCCAATGTTTACCAGGGAGGTACGTGCAGATATGATCCCAAGGACAAGGGTGAATTCGGAGTACAGGAGCACTTGCCTTCGATCAGCTGCAGCTTGGGATGTCAGACATATATTATCGGGCAATCAATGCGTCATGCACAGCAACCCGTTCCCTCATGCTCGCACCTTTCACTGCAACAGTGGCCATGTGACAGAGAAAATGACAAAGCGACGTGCTTCATGACAATATAATAATATAGATACATGGAGGTGAGGCGGGAAGATATACCGGAAGGTTACAAGCTGAAGCTCCAAACACCGCGGGAGTCACGAGCATGAAAGATTCACGTGGGCTCTATGTTTGCAGAAACCTGACATCAGCGCAACATGCAAGCTGCAGCACAAACTAGGCAAGAGTAAGCGTACCAAGGAGCACCGATTGAAATCGGTTGAACCGATTGAAATTTCAGTCGGGGCCTAGATTGCCCAGGCGTCTGCCCCAGGGAATCTTGGATCCCGATTGAAACCGATTGAAGTTGCAATCGGGGCCAAGATCCAAGATTCCCTGGGACAGACCCCTGGCCCCGATTGAAGTTTCAATCGGTTCAATCGGGAAAGATTGTATGAATCTGTTTGGATGATCTTGCCGTGTGTGTGTGTGTGCTGATGTGCGGGTGGATTGGGTCTATATTATGACGAGATGATTGTGAATCTAAAGAGCTGAAGAGACAGTGTGTGCGTGTGCGTGCGTGTGGGTGTGTGTTGTGTGTGTGTGTGTGCGTGTGTGTGTGTGTGTGTGTGTGTGTGTGTGTGTGTGTGTGTGTGTGTGCTTGTGTACAGAAGATGTCGTAGCATACATGTATACAGTATGCAGACTGGTTTGGAGGTAGGTCCTGGGGGGGACCATATGTGTGTATATATATATATACATATAATACTATATTATACTATATTCTATTATTGTATATTATATAGATGCATATACAGGTCGTCTTTTTCTGTCCGCATGTCTGTCTGTATGGCCGGCTGACTGAGTGATGAGTTCTACTGCGTGCAGGCCTGGCAGGCTTATGTGGAGACGGGCAGCTGCCTGCTGTGCCCGCGTCTTACAGCCTCATGTGAAAGTGAAGTTGCAGTAGCAGACATGAAGTCGCCGAAGCACCATTCTGCCGCTGCCTTCTTCGGAGAATCGTGACTGTGACCAGGCCGGCCACGCCCGAAACGCTCAGCTTTCCACAGTGGCCTATGCTGACACCCAACACCTTGGACGGAATGGGCTACAGTGTTTGTGCCTTGGAAGTTAGGAAGTCTGCGATTCCCACGGCTGCCACATGCTGCCACTGCAGGTGCAGAACACATTCATCAACTTTGCAGTGCCATCGACACCCATGACAAACACCCGTTCGCACTCATTGTGTGACCCTTACAGCGACACGAGCGGTTTCCGTTTTGCAAGCGACGGCGAAGGACTTTCCGGCTTGGCTTTCAGGGCTTTGGTTGACGAGAGAGTCTGGAGCTGCATCCCATCAAGACCGTCAAGATCGTGTCGCAAGACCGGGCGGTGCAGTCTTGGTGACATCAGTGTCAGGCCACGTAATATGGGAGCATCCGAAAGTGACGAGGCTGGCTCTGGTGCACAAGTGCGGCCACAAGTTATTGTTAACATGTCCTGGCACGAGGCGCAAACGGGCGAGAAGGCCGAGGAGGGCATTTTGCAGGCCTCTGTTTGGTCCACACACGGCTTCATAAGGTTTGCGGAATTCAATGCGAAACAGCTCCGAAGAATCACGGTCAGTTTGTTACCTATATGCCCACACTGATTTAAAGAAAAAGGAAGGCGGCGATGGGCTTCGAGCATGAAGACCGCACTGATGCATTGGTTTCACGATGTTTCACTCAACTCAGATGTTTTTCCACTTGTTTGCTTGTCTGCTTTGTTGTCTGTTCCTCCGCTTTTCCCCTTGCCCGCTGTTCTTTCTGTCTTCTGCCAATGTTTGCTTGTCGTTTTCGGCTTGTTCTTGCTTTGCTTTTCTGCTTTCTGCTATTTTGCTTTTCCGCTTCAAATGAGAGGGGGTTAAGACATGTGATGAATCGGGGTCGGCAATAGAGAAGGCGTGAGCGCAAGTAGTTGCCCACAGCTTTATGTGTCAGGAGACTGGATGTGGAGTGCATGGCCCGGCCAACCGCCTGATGTCAAGAGCTTGGTGATTCTGTTGCTCGCTGTGCGCTCGCAGAAGTGCAGAACGAATGAGCTGAGTCATGCATGAGCTGTACAAGATCTGCACACGCTCTACATTTGACGTGGCGGATTAGGTCGGCTGCGGCTGCAGCGTGCTGCGACCCCGCACGTGTCCAGTCCTCAGCTTTCTGCTCAAGCGCTCACACGTGACACTGCTCTGTCAGTGGGGAAGGGTAGCATCCTTTATTTTGAAATTCGACTCTTTGGTTGTGACGTCCTTTTTACCTTTGTTCTTTCGGCTATCTTGCGGTGGCTAGTGCTTGTGCTTGTACTGGTGCGAGTCGTCGGAGTGTACACTTTTTGGACTCGTACCACTCCACAAGTACACTACTCGTAGTAGTAGTAGTAGTAGTAGTAGTAGTAGTAGTAGTAGTAGTAGTAGTACTACTACTACTACTGCTATTACTACTAGAACTGCGAGTATTTCCACTACCACTGCTACTACCACTACCAGTACCATTACCAGTACCAGTAGCACCACTGCTGCTACTACTACTACTACTTCTACTTCTACTTCTACTTCTACTTCTACTTCTACTTCTACTTCTACTTCTACTTCTACTTCTACTACTACTACTACTACTACTACCACTACTACTACTACTACTACTACTACTACTACTACTACTACTACTACTACTACTACTACTACTACTACTACTGCTACTACTACTACTACTACTACTACTACTACTACTACTTCTACTACTTGTTCTACGACTACTACTACTACTGCTACTACTACGTACTACTACTGGTACTACTAGGTACTGCTGGTACTACTAGTGCTAGTAGTGCAGCTTTTATAACTCAGGCCGCGAGTACTGGTATTGGTAGTGCTGTCAGTGCTACTAGTACTGGTACGGCCAACCCTAAAAGGTTTGGGATGCGACTCAACGCTACTGTATTTAAGACAACCACGAAGGCACAAGTGAACTGAACGTGGTCTCACTAAAGGTGAACACAATTGCACACACAGGAGAAAGACTTCCCCACAGCAAGGCGCACAAGTCTTGTACTGCCGTTGCTGATATTTAGTTATTGTGAGGCATACGTCCCCAGACGGGCAGCCGCCGCCTCAATCACGTGCTCAGCAGGTCAGGCTGCGGGGTCTGGGAGTTGAAGCCGCTCTCGCACTTAGGCGAACACACCCAGGAGCGGGCTGAAGGCTCGTGCAGCACTAGCAGGGCCCTCAGAAGCTGAGGGTCTCTGAGGGTGTTCTGTCAGCCGACTGCTGCAGGCCTGCAATCCCGAGCCCGAGCTGCCTGGATGCGTCTCCATCGCCACAGCCGCAGCACATGCAATGCACATGCAGATTGCACATCGCAGATCCCACCCCTGAACTCAGGAACACACATCAGGTAGTGCAGGCAGGATCTGCAGGGATTTGCGGAGTGCCAAGAATATGCCGAGCTTCTCAGCACCCGACGTGAGGTCACACGCTCCGCCTGGCAGAACTTCTTTGAGGGCATGGGGAGTTGGCAGTGTTGCTACCAGTAGGAGCCTTCAGCAGTGTTTCACCTGCAACGTGTGACGTTCCCGAGGCCTCGAGGCACAACAGGAATGTCAGATTCAGACGGTGCCCTCACCCGCACAGCTGTCTGCAGTCGAGGAAATACATCTTGCAAGGCATGGCTTTGAAGAACAGGTGAGTTCACCGCAGGCACAAAGACGGCCTGCTTCAAGTGAGCAGCAGTCCAGTGCTTGAAAGACTG